GCCATGTTGGTTAATAAACCAAAAACCTAGCGCTAGATAGTCTGGTCGTCTGACGACAGCGATAGACAATTAGGCTACGGCTACACATGCACCGCCGCACTATATTTACATGATTTTCTTATTGGTCACAAAAGATACAGCGAGCTAATAGCAAATTACATACGATGAAAAAAATCAAACACGTAACATTAAAAAGCAAATCATTGAACACAGACAAGGGAAAAAACTCTTAAATTGCTTCGGACTGACTGGGTAGGAGTTTGATCAATCAGCGTGGGCCCCTGACTTCCCATCTCAAGACCTTTATTCATCTGACTCCGGTCTATATGTCCCTCAAGCTCCTCTACACTCTGTGGGTGACAGGGCCTTCTCTTGCTTCCGCAAAGCTGTGGAGGTCTATCCCCAAGTATATGAGAGTCTCCTGTTTGGAGCGCATTTAAATCACGTGCTCCGATTTCGCAAATTAGAGGTGTTGTAATTAAAAAGCCAATAATTAATTTTATGTCCGTTTTGTAAGTTTGTATATTAGCTTGAAATAACGAAAACATGAACTTTTCAGCTGCTACACTCCTCACACAGAAGAATCATGGATGCAGTGTATCATAACAATAACACATTCTAATTTGTAATCTAATCTGTAGATGGCTCTGTACTAAAATTGAAAAACCTTGGGGTTATATTCGATTCTGGCTTAACATTCGACCCACATGTACAGCATACTGTCAAAACATCTTTTTTTTCACCTTAGAAATATCGCAAGAATACTCCCTATGCTATCATTAACTGTGGCTGGAAAGCTGATCAACATATTTGTATTCTCTCGAATTGACTACTGCAATGCTCTACTCCCTGGGGTATCTAAATCTACTCTGAACAAACTGCAGTATGTCCAAAATTCAGCAGCCAGAATCCTGACCAGGTCTAGTGCAAGTGTTCACATTACTCCTATCCTGGAGTCCTTGCACTGGCTTCCGGTCAACTTCCGCGTTGACTTAAAAATCCTCATGCTCACCTATAAGGCTTTACATGGCTTGGCACCTCAATACCTGTCTGAGCTTTTATCGCCCTACTCCCCACCTTGCAACCTCCGCTCTTCAAATCCTGCCCTCCTTACTGTCCCCCAAGCCCGTCTACATTGTATGGGCGACAGGGCCTTCTCCTGCTATGCCCCCAAGCTCTGGAACTCTTTGCCCAAGGATATCAGAGAGTCACCTTCTCTAAACTCCTTCAAATCCAGACTCAAAACCCTCTTCTTGAGAAGAGCCTTTACTTAACTGGTGCCATTCTTCACCCCTCTGCTCTTCTTAGTACCACCTTCCACGGTCTCCTCTATTGTTATTGTTGTAATTGTAATTGTGTCTTATCTTATGAAATCTTCTTATTTATTGTTGTAGTCGTCTTATTTATTGTTAGTGTCATCCTGTAAAGCGCTTTGAGAAGCGACCTTTAAAGGCGCTATATAAAATAAAATTTATTATTATTATTATAATTTATCTGTTATTTTTCTCTTTGTTGTTGTTTATGTACTCGTCATTACTACACTCACCAGCTATAGCGATCATATCTCGGGTCCCAGAGACCTGGAAAGCTCTGTTCCGGGAATGTTGCGCTGCTGCTCATACCTTCTCGCCCAGCAGCACTGCTGTGGCTGTGGGCAGGAAAAACTGGACTCAGCGCTTTTGAGAGACGCCCGCCAGAGAGCCAGAGCCAGCAGCAGATTGGCAACAGAGATGAGGGAGAGCGCCAACGAAAGATGAAGAAATAACAGTGCGAAGCACACCGAGTCAGCTGAAGTGAGACCAGAATGTTAGTTTCCCGAGCAGCACTGAGCAGAAGGCGAGCCCACGGCAGTCCACCCGTGTAACAGCCGTTACTGTGGCCCCTGAGAGAGGAGGCTTCCCTCTAAAGATGTAGTTATAATAATGTGTGTTCATTCCCTTCACTCGCTTATTTTTCAGTGTACCATGACAGTAACCAAGCTTATATTTGTGCTTTTTAAGTTAAAACACGCTGGTCTAATCTTCTCAATAAAATCAGGGGTAGCGAGCTAGAAAGCCAGCAGACAGCACGTTTTTAAATTCATGTTTACATCAGCGTTTTCTAAACACGTGGACAAATTTTGTTTTCACCACTTATGTAAAGAAGCTGTTTAGAGATCCTTTGAAATTAAAATCGCACAGCTCCTGCTGTATGGGCAAGGTGCCCTACCTCCAGACACGCGTTGGGAAGGAACACTGCGTGGACACAAACTAATTCACCTGTGTGTTCTGTTCCCAAATTAGCCTGTCTATATTCGAGATTTTCCTGCTGTCCTGTGTTGTTTTCTTCCAGAGTGTGAGTGATGGAGATAATTTGTTCCGGAATGGAATTCCAGGAATGCTCCGACTACATGTGTTGAGTGTGCCGTGCTATTCTCGGGATGAGGGAGATTTTTATCAGCCGCAGCTCCAGGCGGCACAAGCACCGGGTTCCCACAGAGGAAGGGTGGGGGTGATAGCGGGGCGAAGGGACATCAGGACTCAATGTTCAGCTCCGTCCTGTGACAGTGTCACTTATTTCTTCACAAGGAAGCCACCTAGGGTCACAATCACCTAATGTCCTTCCCAGCTGTGTTTGTGGAGAGTGAACATTATGGTGATCTGATTACCCTTGAGTACCCTTGAGCACCAGTCTGACCACATCACACGTCACCCAGGAGTCTATGTGTGTTTTATCAGTTTCTGAAAGTGTTGCCCATGGAGACAAATCTATGAACATTCTGTACTTTCCACACACTGTCTTCTTAAGTTATTTTTCCTGAGTATAGTCACATGTGCAAGGCTGTCAGATGGTTTTGTTGTTGTTGATAGGGGGGAATTACTCATGATTCTTAGAATTTAACAAGAACAAAGCGAGAGCAGATTCAGCGGCAGTTGTGGGATGAAATAAGAGACCATCTGACACAGCGATGTTCTGTGCTTTGACCCAGAGTCAACAGGCAGCCCCAGGCTGCTACAGCGCAGAGCAGGAGAGGATGGATGCAGGCCACTTGCTACTACCTTGTAGCTAACCTGGTAATGATTAAGAATAATAATTAATAATTGCTTACACTTATATAGCGCTTTTTCTGGACACTCCACTCAAAGCACTTTACAGGTAATGGGGACTCCCCTCCACCACCACCAATGTGCAGCATCCATAGTATGACTATGACGGCAGCCATAGTGTGCCAGAACGCTCACCACACATCAGCTATCAGTGGGGAGGAGAGCAGAGTAATGAAGCCAATTCATAGATGGGGATTATTAGGAGGTCATGACTGGTAAGGGCCAATGGGAAGTTAAGCCAGGACGCTGGGGTTACACTCCTACTCTTTTTGAGAAACGCCCTGGGATTTTTAATGACCACAGAGAGTCAGGACCTCAGTTTTACGTCTCATCCGAAGGACGGCGCCTGTTTACAGTATAGTGTCCCGTCACTATACTGGGGCATTAGGACCCACATGGACCACAGGGTGAGCGCCCCCTGCTGGCCCCACTAACAACTCTTCCAGCAGCAACCATAGTTTTTCCCAGGAGGTCTCCCATCTAGGTACTGACCTGGCTCACACCTGCTTAGCTTCAGTGGGTTGCCAGTTGTGAGTTGCAGGGTGATATGGCTGCTGGCTGAAATAACTCAATGATGGACACATCGCAGGGAGTGAATAATGAGCACGTCTCACGTGAAGTCCTGACTGGCTGCCTGGCATGAGGCTCCAGTCAGGTTGCAGCACTCTGGGTCGGTGTGGTTTGGACTTCACTTGATTTGCATGCTATTGCATTATTTCCTCTGTATTTTACTTGTAAAAGTAATTTTGCTTTGGATTAAAAAGGGTGTTTTCTTTGAGAGAGCATTGCTGTCAAATGCAATCACTGTTCACATGGCCTGCTCTTCACAGATACACACAGATACACACAGATAGACAAGCGCTCACACGCTACCCACTCTCCCAGTGTGCTTCATTCCTTCCTGTCGCTCGTCTTCCTAGTGGAGAAGTCTCTTCCTGCGTGAGCAGCATTTCTGTTTGCAAGGGTAAAGCTCAGTGAGGCCTGTGAAAGCACCCGCAGTTTCACAGTGATCTCCCGGCACCTCTCTCCTCTGTCTTCACACAAACACCTCGCCTGTTGTGTGAGGTGGAGGGAGTGTGTTCAGCCCTCGGTGCTCTTTGTACCCTTTCTTATTGTTTTGCTGTGCTGTGTGATCTGTGTTTAATTCCTCTTTCCTTCTCTTGAGGGCTGATGCCTATTCGTTGCAGCTCAATAAACACTCCCCTTCTTCACCCTTGAGAAAGCAGCAGCCTTTCATCTGTGCTGTTATATAACTCCACCCCTCTCCCTGGTGTGGATAACTTAGGCTAGGACAGATCTGCTGCTGTTCGAGCGCTGCGTGAACACAAGCACACACACAAGAGAAGGCCATTCAGCCCAACCTGCCCGTTCGGCAGTCAGTATTTAACTAACTGGAGGATCTCATTGGTGGTGGTGGAGGGGAGTCCCCATTAACTGTAAAGCGCTTTGAGTGGAATGTCCAGAAAAGCGCTATATAAGTGTAAGCAATTATTATTATTAATTATTATTATAATCTCATCCTGCTGTGTCTCGAGAGAAGCCAGAGTATCATCTTCCACAACATGACCCGCCTCTTGCAATACAAAGACTTCTTACGTGCCACTGTCCTGCACAGCCCACACCTGCGGTCTAAACATTACACTGATTGGTTTCCCAAAAAATCGTATGTTGGAAAAGAACTGAAAGATGAGGGGAAAAAACGGAAAATGATCGTTCTTTCTAATTTTATTCTTCCAAAAATTAAATTTAAAAATAATGATAATAATAAGAATAATAATAAAGTGCCACTTTCATTTTGAAACACATGACTGAAAAACAAACAACAGATTCTTTCTTCAGCATTCAACACTGGAACGGCAGTCATATGAGCATGTGAACACGATTACACGCCTTCAAAGCAAAATGCAGAAACACTTCACAAAAAAGCCACCAGGGGGCGGTCGTTTATAAGAAAATACAGTGCTATGGCCTTTCTTTATTTACAGTAAAACATTCTCCAGTCACGACGAATCTTTACAGAGATACTTTTCTTTTTTTTTTCTATCAGACTCTTCAAGAGCTTACATTCAAGGTAATCCAACCAACAGGCAGGAGGCAGAATTCTACACATTCTTGTCTCTCTCTCTCTCCTTGCTCTCCAGACTGGTCTGCATTTCTGTGACCCACAATGCGGATTCCCAGTGTTCGCAACATTCTGCCCCTTCATCCCTGTCAGCCTCAAGAAGGCAGGCTGTCTTCACACTCCTGCTGCCCCCAAAGCCTGAGCCAATAATGTGTCCTACAATAAATCAGTCCATAGCTCAGGCCACAATAAGCATTTGAAAATAAGTTTAAAAAATAAAAATACTGTACAATACTGTAGTTTCCTTTGAATAAGCTGGTTTTAGACATTTTCACCCTTACCAGTAAATAAGCCTCGCCCCCCCCTCTTAATTTAATATCAAGGTCACCAGACAGCTTGTCTCTACACAAAAGAGCTTTTTTTGCTTGCTTACTGAGTTAGCAAGCTCTTCAAAAGCTTAAGAAAAATCTTGGATCATTAGCAAATTGTGACTGCTGTTGTGACGTGACAGGTTCTGAATGGTGAGAAGAAAGTGCTGCAGGACTTGTGAACGTGCTTTGTGTGCTGGAGAAGCGAAAGACAAACACCTGGTTTTAGAGCTCTGAATAAAATAACTTCGCAATTCTCATGGGCCACTAGACCCGCGCTGCCAGGGGGCGCAACTCTCCAACTTCAAATAAACTGAGCTGAAAAAGACATCTCTCGCACAGACTTGAAATCACCCCGGCAAGACCAAAAGAAGAAGAAGGAAAGAGATGGACGAGGCAGGACAGTGGGACAGTCACAGCTAGACCATTACTGGAGCGGGCTGGACTCAACAGTGTCAGCGCTCTCCTGTATCAGCTCACCCTATGCAGTCTGTGACGGTTCAGTATATACAGTACAAAGATAAAACACAGCGACCCTGAGGGCAGCAGGCTGGCTCAAAGGCCCATTGGTCAGGTGTAGATCTACCCTTCCTGCTACAAAGGAGAAGACGAGTGGCACCTGCCAAGTGGGCTGATCTCAGGGACCCTGGTGACCCCACAGAGCAGGCAGGCAAGTCACCAGCTATGGCATTAGCGCCTTCAGCCTGTGACCTGGGCTGCCGTTTTGCGAATACGGTGTGCTCCTGAAAGCAGCAGTGCTGTGGAAGGGAGGACATAGGAGGGCAGCTGGGTAGCTGCTCCAGCTGGTGCAAAACAAATTAAACAAAAGAACCAATTTGCAGATAAAAACAATGATCTTTCCCAGCTGTTCTTTCGCCTCAGGCTTTGTAAGACATCAATAAATCTAACAACTGGTTTCAGTTTGATCTTCTTCCCTTCAATTTTCAGAGAACACTGAATGGTTTTCTGAGATATTTTGCCCACTGGTGGGAGACAAAGTCCTTGATCTTGTCAACAGGTTATTTGTAAGTGTGAGAGGAACACCTGCTGGATTTAGGCTGTGAGCTAACCTGCTGCCTGCTGCCCTGCTGCCTGCCCCAGGACAGTCTGAGCTCCAGGGTTCGAGCAGCACCCTACAGGCAGAACAGGCAGCTGATACAACAGCTGCTGTAGTATCACTTTTCTTCAACCATAGATTAAGAACCAGAATAAAACATTTCACCTCATTACAGGATGATAAACTAAAAAGAGAACAACAGCAATTTAATAAATAATTGCAAATGAGGAAATGAACTCCAAGAAGCACTGCGTAACAAAACGTCAGTGAGCAGGAGGGCGTCGTCTCCGTGTCCAGGTTCATTTAAATCTGCTGAATGTTCATACATAAAAATACAAAAGCATCTGAAAAAAAAACTTTATATACATGTGTTCATTGTATCTCCCTCAAAACACCTGTAGTAAAAATGGTAATGATGATCAATTTAAAATCAAACAAAAAACCAAGAGACATCCAAAAAAACAAACTTGAAGTAGGCTCAGTTTGGACTCAGTGTGTTGCTTGCTCTTGGGGCAGCAAATATGAGAGGAGACCATTCTGAGTGGTTTGACAGAGTCCTCACTTTTTCACAGGAACATAAGAAAGACAAGACAAGGCCATTCGGCCTGTTTGATAGCAAGTACCTAACTGATCCCAGGATCTGCTCCAGCTCTGCCCTGTTGTCTCCAGTCTCTTCTCCAGCACTCCAGGGCAGCCCTCTACTTGCAGGTCCCCAGGTGAGAGCCCAGTGCCCAGAGCGCACACACACACACTTGCTCACCCTGGCTGTGCACTCTTCCTAGCTCGAGATGGAGAGCGCCTTACATGCGATGCAGAGTTTTCCCTCCTGGGTGGGAGCTGGTCCACCTGGCAGAGCCGAACTCCGCTCTGCCTGCACAGGGTTCACCCTGGGAGGGGGCAGTCCTGTACACCTCTTCTCAAGTAAGACAGGGAGGGGATCCAAGCCCTCTTTCAGAAATCTTCAGAAAAGAAGCAAAGAAAAACATATCTACACCCCTGTCCTATAAAAACGGCGAAGGACGAGGTGAGGATGCAATATGGTCTCATGGAGAAGTAGAGATCTTAGAAACAATAAATACATCAGTAAATAACGGGAACAGCGGTGTCCTTCTTGTGCACGACTGGGAGGAAATTCATAGGCCCAGCGCAGCCCCAGCCTGGCGTGGGGTGGTGGCAGGGTGCAGGGGTGCTGTAAACGGGCAGCACAGTGGGCCGATCAGCTGGGTAGCAGCCACAGCTCCAAGACGTCCCAGTGCTTCCAGAGGGAGACCAGCAGCAGCACCAGCAGCACGGTGCCCGCCACCCGGGCGCGCGTCTTCATGAGTGGCGTGATGAAGTTGGCCAGCGTGGACACGAAGACCAACAGCACGGCCATGAGAGCCAGGATGACGTTGATGAACTTGCCCAGCAGTGCCCGCGCATTGGCGTTCTCCACCCCCTCCAGCTGCACCACCTGCTGCTGCTGCTGCTGCAGCTCCAGCTTGGTGATGCGTGTCAGGCAGGACTCCACTGCCTCCTACAGGGCGAGAGAGAGAGACGCAGAGTCACATCTCCTCAGACGTCTCACTGGGAACAAATTGCATAGCCCCAAACACATTTTCTCATTCATACAATGCTTAGGAAGAGAAAGTATTGTCGTTTTATAGGAAATAATAATTCAGACAACATTCTAGTTGGTTGTGAACTGTTCTATTGGTAGGGATAACAGGCTTACTTCTCCTCGGATGGTTCATGATGTCTTTCCATAATCTCAGGCCTGACGGAAAGTGGAGGAGACTGTGCCAGGAGACTTATTTTTACCCAAGTGTTATAATACACACAATAGGAACATCTACAGGCCAACAGCAGATGTTCCTGAGAGTTCCTATATATAACAAAGCTGTCTAAAATAATCCCTTGTGAGGATGTAACTCAGCCCTTCACCAATTCTCTAATTAATCAACTAATCAATTAATCAACACATGAACTTAGATACATGTGATAGAGGCCTGAACGAGTTTTAGTGACAGGTCAGCTGGTTGTCAGAGCCTGTCTTGGCAAGAAATGGACACAAGGCAAGGATACACCGTGGACCAAGAAGTCAGTTAACTGACCAGTATGTCTTAAACAACCAATATGGGAGAAAACTGGAGCATCTGGAGGAAACTCACATGAATATAGGGAGAACATACGAACTCCACACAGACAGCAGCCCAGATCGAGAACCACTGCACCACCGTGTCGCCCTCAACTCCATTCACCAGAAAATGATTACAGTCTGCAGTTTCTTAAGGTTTTGTAAAGACACTGGTTAAAACCAACTAATTAGGTTTAAACGTACTTAATTAACCACACCTGAATGTATTAGTTAAGTGAACGTACAGTTGCAGTCCTCGTACCAGACCACACTTGATTAAAAGAAAGCTGCCACAGGCTGAAGCCCTGTAGGACAACAGGGGGCTGGGACTATTTTGTAACAGAGTCCTGGGCATGACAGCAGGGCAGCAGGACCCCAGTGGGTCCCATACGTTTAATGGGCTCTGGCTTGGTAGGGTCTGTGTAGCCCTCACCGCTCACCTGAATGTCCCTGGCTCTCTCGTATGACTGGTATGCCACCTTCTCCTCCATGCTGGCCAGCTCCTGCTTCAGGTTGGTCATCTCATTCTGGTGCAGCTCTGTCAGGTCATTCAGCTGCTCTTCTAACCGCTCATACCTGCACACAGACGCAGTGCGATGGGGTAGACTGCCTTACGCAGACAGTCCTGGCCCACTGCACTGTCACATGCAATCACAGACAGCACTGGGCCCACAGCGCGGACACATGCAATCACAGATAGCCCAATGCTCTGTGGCTGGACACACACTGCCCAGGAAACAGATCTGACACCATGCTATCTGAATCTGGCATACATGCAATCACAGACAGCATTGGGTCCACAGTGCAGACACATGCAGTCACAGACAGCACTGGTCCCACAATGCAGACACATGCAATCAGACAGCACAGGGCTCACTGCACACATACTCAGCCTACATAGTCAGGTTCCTATCACACATACACAATGACTCAGCTGGCTTCTTGAAGAGAGATGCATAGACATGCTATTCTGTCAATGGATAATAACCTCAGCCACTGGTCCCCTCAGTCTGTGTACCTGTATCTCTCCTCCTGCAGGCATTGCGTCATGTAGCTGTAGTCCCTCTGCAGCTGGGTCTTCATGTCCTCAATGGCGTCCTCCAGGTGGGCCTGGCTGGCCTTGATCTCTCGCAGCTCCTCCAGCAGGGTGTCCCAGGTGCTGTGTGTGTGGTGCTGGCTGTCCAGTGTGTTGGACTTGGGGCTGCCCATGCCGGGCGCTAGCCCCGCCCCGCCCCCTGCCCCAGAGTTGCTGCCACCGGCTGAGCCAGAGGTGGCGCTGGAGCACTCGTCGTCGCTGTTGTACTTGGGGCTGGACACCAGTGTGGCGCTGCCGCTGAGTGCGCGCTGGGCCTCCTCGGGGTGCGGATCGTCCAGCGTGTCCTTCAGGTGCGCGATGTTGTCTGCGCTGCCGAACTTGTTGCGGATCAGGCTGGCGAATTCCCGTGGCTTGGACACCACGGCCGTGTGGGACAGTGCGGACACGCCCCCCTTCACCCCCTCCACCACGCCCCCCCCGAACCCACTGATGCCTGCACGCATGTTGGCGCCCACGTCCTTCAGGCCCTGCTGCACGTCCCGCAACACATCTTTGGGCTGCCGTGACGGACCGTTCTGTAGGACAAGAGAGTGAGAGAGGGGCACAGGGATGAGCACAGGGGTGGAGGGATGAGAGGCGAGCAAGAAGGAAGGAGACAGGGTTTCAGAGACAGAGGGAATGAAAGAGGAAAATGGAGAGAGTGCAGTTAGGGGGAGGACAGGGACAGAGTGGGACTTCAGAAAACCACAAAAAAAACCTGCAATACGGTCCTCACACTGTGAATGTGAGGGAGCCCTGAGGACAGGTGGCTCATCACTCTTCCTGTAGGGGGCGCTCACCTGCTCGATCTCCTTCAGCTTCTTGTGGTAGTGTTCGAGCTTCTTGTGCAGGTGAGAGATGGTCTGTGCGGACTTCTGGTTCTTCTTCTCGAAGACCTGCTTGATCCGGGAGGCCTGCTGCTTGTCGGCGTTGTGAGCCAGCTTCAGGTACTCAGCCACGTTCTCGTCCCGCGCCTCCTGCTCGATGCGGATCTGCTCTGTGATCTTTAGGATCTTCTGCTGCAGGTGGTCGATGGCGGCGCGTGTGCGCTGGGGGTCCGGCGCCTCGGGGACGTCCAGACTGATGTTGCCATCGGAGCCACCGTGGGTGGCGGTGGGGGGTAGCCCCAGCGTGCTCACCTCCCCCTTCTCCAGCTGCAGAGACATTGACAAAGACCAAGCAAGTGAGACTCCAGGCATCCGGTCCGAACAACTCACTTTGACAGAGCTCCCTGGCATCCCAGTTTGTACTGGTACTGCTGCAGCAGATCTGCTATCTTTTTCTCTTATGGGAGCTGGAGTATAGGACACATCTAAGCCACAGATGTGTCAGAGGGTGTCAGAGCATGTGGCATATGTTTGGAAGGCATGATTCTCCTTTCAAGACCACAGGGTTCCTGCAGAGTTCTCCCTGGACGCTACCCAATTTTAAAGTAATAGGCTCCCCTGTTAACGATAACATGTCTGGTATGACAGAGCTATTTCTTGATGGGCTACATTTTCAGAAACATGTTCACAGATTCAATTCATTTCACTCAAACAGCAGGAAGTGGTAAGGCTGGGTTAAGAGAAGAATTTTAAATGAAGCGAAACTGCTGACCTGAACCACCACAGATGCTGGGCTTCACACTAAAACTCTGGTATCTAGACACTGTTTGCTGAATGCTCTGCAGAGTCAGAAAGGGAATCTATTATAAAACTTTTAGTTTCTTCCAGTGCACTGCTGTGACCCCAGAATTTGTGTTATTGTGTCGTGCCATGTGTTTGCTCCCCGTTAGAGAAGAGTGATAATGTATCAGCCACCCTGACAGTTCTGCTGGATCTTAACAAATGCTTCATCCAAGTAGGTGTCTGTGGCTTCAGGAAATCCAAATAAATATCAAGGCCCTGTTCTGAATTGAGAGTCTCACAAGAAAACTCACAGGAGACCACAGCGCAGAGGGTGCAATCTAGGCACAGGCTCAGAGATGACTGCCTTGCCAGCCTGCTTGAGGAAAGATATGCCATCAGCGAGCAGCTGATCTCTCTCTGCACACTTCCCCCATTGGCCTGTCTAGAGCTGTAGCTCTACTGGCTGCCTGCCCACTGTGACACTTGCTAAAGAATGCAGACTATAGAGTTTGTACAAGAGAGTCATTAGAATAAAAGCTGCTTCACGCAGCTACCTGCACTAGTAACACATACTACACTGTTTATGCAACCTGCTATATAGAAGAAATCTACAAGAAGAGGCAGCTACTGATAAAGAGTGCTCAGGGTCAAGTGATTCCTCTGGGTTCCTCTGAAGTTTCACTGAGCCCAGCATAACGTCCCTGCGATTGTGCACAGCATGGTGGGAGAGGGTTTGTGTCTTTAACGTGCCCACCAAGTGCTACAGAAGCCACCCACCACTGAAAGAGGGAGATGAGTTAGACAGGAGAGGACCAGCTTTTCAAGCAGAAAGGAGAACTGTAAGAGAAATGTTTGCAATTTAATTGCATTGTGTGACCATTTCATCAGTAAAGACTTTAGAGTATCAAACGCTGCGAACACTAAATAACAAAAAGAAACAACAAAAGCCTAACAAAAGGCTAATGTTGCACTCTCCACTACACCCCTGAGACAGGGCTGCTCAGGGTCCCGGCACAGGCTGAGGTAGCCCAGGGTAATGGTGTGTGGGGGCTGTGCAGGAAGACACTCTTCCATCTCTTTCGCCCACTGGCTGGCCATTTGCATCACCCGTCTCTCTGTCTCACTCTTTCTTTTCTCTCTCACTTGCTCTGATCTACTGAGGGCCCTGAGTGTTCACTTCCTGTGAGCTCCTCAAGCACAAGAACGTGCTGTGCTCCGCAGGATGAAAAACAAGAAATAAACAGTTGTGTGCTGAATGCCTGATGCAGCCTGAGCCAGATGAGTGCGAGACGTGAGTGTAGTACATTAATCTGCGTCTCCTGAGACCTGAACAGACCATACTGTTCCCGGAAAAGGCAATACATTCTCCCTTCTTCTCCAGCAAGGAAATTTAAAGAAAGGTTTAAACCTGGCAACTGACGTGCTTGTATTGTCTAACTTCAATTCTGAGAAAAGAAGGCACTTCTTTCACAGTGCTGTTAGCAAAGAGTCTGCAGGGGCATGCAGTGGACGCCGAGTCACTGAACCATTTGGGATGGGTACCCAGCATGTGCGTGTGGACCCCGTCCTCGCTAACAGAGTCAGAACAGCAGCTCATCTGCAGGATGTGCCTGTGTGCTGGCACTCTCACCTCACACAGGATGAACCACAGGAGAGCCTTGGCAGCAAGTGCCCACAGTCTAGACATGCAGACTTCTGTCCTCCTGATGCCAGCTGAGGGAGCTTCCTGCTCACAGGAACAGGGCAGCAGTGAGGGAGTGAAAGGAAAGCTTCCTGCAACACAATGCCTAGATCCTGCGCTGCAAGACAGTTCTACCACAGTCCTTAATGACTTAAGTGGTCTGAATCATCACAGCGGTGGACAGGCGAGTTATTGACTTGTGTTCAGTCCTGATCTCTAGGCTGCAGGAAGCGTGCTGCTGGCAGTGATCCACTCTATCACATTATGAATACGGGCAGCAGGCTTTGCAAGATGAGCAAACTTCTGAGGGTTTCTGACTTTCTCCCGAGAGAGCATCAACGTGCTGTCATCACCCAGCATGTCAGCTCTTCCCCGCGGGCTCGGGGACCGCAGTCTGGGCTGAGCGTGTCTGAGTGTGTCTGACAGACAGGTCGGTGAAGGAGGCCGAATCCTGGCTCGGAGCGTCCTCTTCTCCGCTCTGAGGCGCTGGTGACCCCACAATCACATTCAGAGGTGTCTCCTGAGTCTGGCAGGTGCAGAGCACAGTGCTGGACTATTTAACAGACAGAATTCATACATTTCTCTGTTGGCACCATACTCTTCATATGGTTTAATATGCAATACTTAATTGAATTAAACAATTTTTTCATCATTCCAATATGGAAATATTATATGCTAGTAAATACAAGGATCTATTACTTAAACTATGTAATGGATTAATCTATAGCTGTACTAGCATAGCGCATCTTATAAGAATCTTTGATAACCTTTTTCCATGAGGTGTATAAAATGATCGCAATAAAACAGATTTTTGTTTATTATACAAAAACATGACGTGATTTTAGTATCAGAAACTGGCGTACCGATAATTAATCAAACGCATGAGAAATATTTGGGGGATATGGAAATAGCTTGGTATTTGCAGCTCGGCTCCACTGGGAAGCTCTCCCCTGGGATCTGAAGGAACAATAGCCTGGAAAAGGACGTTTTGCTCGCTGTCTATTCCCTCTTCAAAACCTTCCCAACACTATCAGCCTTTCTGCTGCAACCCTGTCCCCTCCCCCTCTGCCCTGTGCTTCGAAGACGGGAGATTTCGGCTGCCCTTCACAGCCCCACAGCGGGGAAGAAGTCAGGACCAGCATGTCGAGGGTCAGCTCACAGGACCCTGATGTCTTACAGAGCACATAGGGTCGGATTTGGTACAGCACGAGACAATGATGTTGATTTACAACACAACAGCATGAGAGAATACTGGGTCAATGCAGACCGCAAGATCATGAATTACACAGAAAAAAAAATCAGCCGACAAAATGCAAAAATGTGTAGGTTTACTGACAGTAAAACACGCCAAATGAATCCCCACATACACATGCCTGGTGGGAATATAGTTTTGACATAATATTCACGTAAATTGTCTTTGTCTGCTCACAGAATTACAATGAGACTACAGCACCACATGTGTAGTATCTGAATCACTGGAGAGGAGATAATCCATCTTCCCCTCTCTGCGATCATGGCCGGGCAGAAGCAGCCCAGCAAACTATATATCCTGAGGCTTCTGTGCAGCCTCAGCAGGTGTGTATTCAAACAGAAAATGACATCGATGTCTGCCACCAGGACATCTGCGGATCAATGAAACCAGAACACACCGCGACCGGGGTCCGCAGACAGCGGTCCAACTCAAGCAGGAGCAGCTTCCACACTGGGGCAGGCTCCACAAATAACAAGGACAAAAAAACCTACTTAAAAAGGCATGAAAGCAACACAGCCACAGGAATGTGGAGCTCCTACACACACAGATCACAGAAACACATGCAAAGGAAAATTGACGCATCCTAGTTCAAACACAGTGAAGCAGGCAGGCGCTGGGAGAGAGACGTTACCATACTGTTTAATCCCGGGCTGCGGCTCCTGGGCTCTTAGGTCCATCAGCTGCTCCCATCACCTTTTCTGACTCTGCAGGTTCCCCCGTTTTTCCTGTACCCCTCTGCCTGCCGCTCCGCCTGTCTCCAACTGCCTGCCTGTCTGCGTGTCGCTGCCTCACATCCCATTCAGGGGAGCCCGTGTGTGGAGGCCCGCCTCCTCCTCTCCCGCTCTCTCTCTCACAAGCTGCACACACGCTGCCCCACTCCTGCTCATCCCCGCTGTGCATCTCCCAGCGCGGTGGCGGAGACGAGCCGGGAGGCCGGGGGAATCGCAACTGTGAGAAAGTGTGTGTGCGTGAGAGTGTGTGTATGAGTGAGTGCGGGGAGGGGCAGGCACAAGGGAATTTCTAGGAGTTTTTTCCTGTCACAAAAACGGCCCAAACACTCGGAAAGAGCCCACTGGGCCAGGAGAAGGTGACAAGCAAATTCTGATACCTTAGAAACTCAGTGTCGCAAAACAAGACGTTATGCCGGATTAGTTCATGTGGACGAAACAACATGCCCCGTCTGCCATCTTTTAGTTAAAAAGCAAAAACCAAGGAAAGTCCACTGAAGAGTACAATTTAACAAGAAGTGAAAACGCAGTGTTTGCGCCGTGAGCCTCACTCCAGCTCCTCTTTCTCCCTTTGGTCCCTAAAGAAACACATCTGAGCTCTGCATCCTTTGTCTGTAGCTGGTGACTGAGATGTGTTAATGAATCCATGCTTGGAAAGAGAGGAAAAGAAGAGGGCGAAAAGAGGCTTCTTACAGCACAGGTCATCATCTCCTCCCTGCTTCTGAGCTACACTAAAGCGACTATGCAGACTTAACCCTTCACTTGCCTGCAGATCTCAGGCCTGCCTTGAGCCTAGCCACTTCCCTGCAGCCCAGCACATCATGCCTCTCTCCCTCGGTCCAGCCAGGACCTCTCACCAGGAGCTGGACTTATGGAACGTCAG